ATTATGCTTTTTATTTATTTTATTTTATTGTAATGGCCAGAACATTCCATCGAATACTGAATGTAAGTAGTGAGAGCAGACATCTTTGCCTTGTTGGAAGAAAACTGGAGAATCATTTTATCTTGGGCTCTGAACAAATGGAATCATACAGTGTACACTTTTGCTGCCTAAGGATTTTTTCACACAGTGTGATTTTGAGATTCATTCACGTGGCTGTATCCACAGTTGTTTCCTTTTTAGTATATGTTATTTTGAATCAGGTTTTTCAAGGTATAATTTATGTTCAATAAACCAGTGCCAAATATAATTAAATATAATAACTGTAAGAGTTTTGTACATGTCCCTTATGAAATTGGTTAAATTATTTCTAATCATTTTTTGTTAAAAGCAAGTGGGTGTTGAATTTTTGTCAAATGCTTTATCCACACCTATTGAAGTAATGAAATATATTTTCCCTTTTATTCTGCCAAAATGGTTAATTACCTTGATTTTTAAAATATTAAACAAAACTTGCATTCTTATGATATATTCCGCTTGGTCACACTCTTAGTATCTTTTTCATATTCTCCTTGATTTCATTTGCTGCTGTTTTCTTGAAGCTTTTTACATTTACATTCCTGCTGGCCATTTGTCTATGAATTATTTCTTTGTACAGTTCTGTCAAGTTTGAGCATCAGGGTAATACTAACTTAATACAATTATTTGTGATGGGTTCTCTCCATCAAAATGTTCTTTCTTCTTCCAATGATAATAGAATTCAACAGTGAAGTCATTTGTATTTGATGTTTTCTTGCTGGGACATTTTTAAAAATCATAAATGCAATTTATCTATTTTTCAGTTGTGTTAAGCTGTATTTTGCCATAAATTGTCCTTTCTATTTAAGTTGTCAAATTTTTGCTATAAATTTTATTTTTTATCTGTCTTTTCTGTTTACAGTGCTTATTCCATTAACATTTAATGTAATTATTGATATTTTCCCACTTTCCTCTCCTGTTTCTTATTCTTCTGGTTTCTTACTTGCCTGTTAGACTTCCATTTTAATTTATGTGTTTACTTTTATAATTTTTCTATTCCACATAGCACGTATTTGTGTGTATTTGTGTGTGTGTGATAGCTCTAAGGATTAATGAATGTGTTTGTGTAAGTAATATCCCTTAACTTTTCACAATCAGTTTAGGATAATATTGTATTTCCATCCAAAATGCAGAAACATTGCCTCTTGTATAAGTTGTTATGCCCATCTACCTCTATTTGCATTTATACTTTAGTTTTCAAATGTACTGTGTCTAAGTGTATTATGAATTCCATAGATGAACACAACTGAGAGTTAGTCTTTTTAATTTTTTCAAGGGATTGTATTTTTTGGAAGATATAATTGTTGGAAATTAGTGCCTCACTACAGAAGTGGAATTTATGCACTGATTTAAAAATTATTTCTGAAGTTACTCTAGTCTCAGTCTAAAATTGTTTTGAGTTGTTTGAATGTGGTTTTTACTTACTGTTAAAAAAACTTCTAGGATTGCTTCTTGGATTGTTTTCACTCAAAAAACCTTCTAGTATTGCTTAAATATACCTGATAGAGGTGAGTATTATACTAAATGATGTGTTCACCTAATTTATTAAATAGCGTCACTTTAATATTGGTAATTTTTCCATGGGATTTTGTCAGCTGTATTATAGTTTTTTAACTAAAGAAAACAAATTTAAATTATTTTGTTTCTGGCTTTTCTCATTAGTTTTATATCAGCCTCTGTCACTGGAAGCAACATTTATAAAAGATAATGAAATACCATTTAACCGATCAGCAGACATCTAAAAACAGCAAATATTTAGTATAGAGTTAAAATCCCTAATCCCCAGACACCTCTAAGAATAGAGAAAGGGAAATATGTGACAGTTAGAAAAATACCTGGTCCTACCTGCTAGAAAATATACTAGAATATAATTTCTACTTTTGAGTATGTTTAAATACAAAAATTTTGAAAACAGAAAATGATAAGAAAGGATATTTTATAAAATAACAAATAAAAGAAAGTTGGTGAAAGCAAGCCAGATTAATAGACTGGAGAAAATCAATTTTTCAGTAAAATATTTAAAAAAATCCCTCTCTTCCTCATGAAAAAAATGTAAGGAGGTTGGGTAGTCAGAGAAAATACCACTAACATATGAATTCCACAGCCAAAGAAAAATTGTCTTTATTTACAGTTTATGTGAATAAACTTAAATGAATCTTAAAATGGAAATAAAATAAATTAATGTAGAACAGTTATTTGATCTAATTGAAACACCACGTTCTACAGAAAGCTATGTGAATACACATTTTCAACTTTATGTGTTAAAAATTTGATTTCAGAAGTAGTTTTCCTAAAATTACCATCCTGTTGAAGTAGCTGTTGAGATGTCTTTGGCAGGTTTGTGACAGAATAGCAATGTAAATCAATGAGAAAAATATGGATCATTATAGGAATTTAGTTGTAAAAGTTGACTATCTGGAGAAAAGTTCAAATTGGATGCTTTTCCTATTTATGAGCACAAAATTAGAAACAGAATAAAGACCCCATCATACACGCACAATTGTCTCGCTTGGATAGGATTGCTTAAATCTATCATTGAACATTGAAAGCACAAATCCTGAAGTAGACATATTTCACTACATAAAAAAATCACATTGTTCTTTCTGTCTGATTTTGCATTGGTAAGAGAGTGCAAGAGATACATTGGAGAATTTTTCAGATTGGAAACTATACAAGTTAAAATGAAGATTGTTTATACATGTGCTTGCCATTAATTATGAAGCATAATACCCAAAATGTTTTTATATTAATATGAACATTTTGACACTTTTTTTTGTTAATAATATGAACCTCAGAGGTTCTCAGGTGAGAAGGATTCATCAATTTCAAGATAAGGTTTTTGTTTGGGGAATGAAAGTAATAGTACTAAGGAAGGTTTGAAAAGGAGACCAACTATGTGAAATGTTTTTTTTTTTAAAATAAGTAAATCGTAAAGACATTACCCATAATGCTTGGGGATGTACTTGTTAAATAATGTATGTATTTTTATAATCTTGGATTACTTAGTAATATAATACACAATGTATCTGGCATAAAGAATAGAAAAAAATTATGTGGTGTTAAAATAGTTGCAAAATAAAAATTTTTAAATAAGACAAAAAAAAAAGCGATAGATGCATGTAATCATGGGTATCCATGGAAAACATTATCAATTGTTAGTGAATAAAGTAAAATTTATTAAAAGATTACTACACCTCAGGGAAGCAGGGATTTCTCCAAAAAATTCAAGGTCTCTTCAATATTATGGTCGTATAAGTAAAATACACCATACTGTACCGTATCAATGTCTTAAAATAATTGATCAGTCACCACCCATTCCTGATTTAAAACATAATAACGAAGTAAAACCTTGTTCGTAGTGATAAAAATATTCTTGTTAAAAGCTGTTTTCCTGGTTTATAGCAGAAGCAAACGTACATTTTAAAATATCAAGAGTAATGAAATGAATACCTCTGTGTGAATTTTCTAGTATTGAAATGAAAGGTTTGTGTATGCATGTGTAATCTTAATGTGACTGAAAGTCAGCACCATACATAATGGTAGAAAGTGGAACACTGAGAAACATTTTCATTAAAGTCAGGAATTAGACAATAATATCTCTCTCAACAGTTTTATTTATTATTGCTTTGTAGAAGTAATGAAATTAAGCAAGAAAAAAACTTGTTACAGATATTAGAAAAGAGGAAAAAGAAGAGATTCCTTTTTGGTAGTTCTTGTGTATATATTCTTAGAACCCCTGAAGAATGAAATAAAATGCTATTTGAACCAATAAAGAAGATTCAGTAAGGTTGCAAATCTAAAAAAATGAATACTTTCAAAATATTATTTTATATGCAAATTATAACCAGTTTAAAACTATAATGGAAGAATGAATTTATTTACATAGCAAACAAAATGAAGATGGCCAGTAATACAAAATAGTTACAGAATGGAAATTTTAAGGAAATGGGCAAAATGTTCTCAGCCATAAAACAATATTGCCTTTGGAAAGGGAGATTCAACTTCCAAGATTCAATAACTTGCTCCTTCTAAGTTAATATGTTAAACAGTGAAATCTTCTTACTAGCTGACAATTCATGCCTACAATTTATCTTATTTCCTCTTTTAGACTACCTCTGAGCTCAAACAGAAAATGAAGTCCAAGTTTGGAAATAATTTGCCAACTTTCAGTCCTGCCTCATGCAATCTTTCCCCATCTCACTTATCACAATTAGCTATTCCTAGGAAGTAAAGCCTGTCCTGTTTGTACCACATGCCAACCACTGTAGGCATGGGCACTTGCTTTCGATCCTAAGTTCTTTGTCCTTCTACAGTAGGGTACACAGATTTCACAGGTTGGTAGAAACTGGGCCAGTAAGCATGTATCTCGTCTCTTCTCCCCAGAGCTAACTGATATTTTTCTTGCGGTCATACAACTCAAAATTGGCAAAATTTAAGATTTGTAAAGAGAATTTGGAAAACTAGTCTTTTTATTTGAAATATTTAAATCTTTAAACATAGGGAGCCTATTTAAAAAGTAATCACTGTGTCCATTGCAAATAAACCACACTGGTGACAAAATTGGACTTGTGGCCTGGCTCATACTGCTTGCTTTAGTTTTTGGCATATTAAAATCCATGAGGAAAAATATGGAGTAGGGTGGAGAGAGTGTTTCAAGTTGTAAGTCTCCTATTTTTGCTCCAGAGTGTGGTGCAAGAAATCATTCTGTATACATCTTATTTGCTACCAGTCCTAAAACTGAGTTGAGCAGAAAGAGAGAGAGAGAGAGAGAGAGAGAGAGAGAGAGTTTATGTGTGTGTGTGTACACATACTCAAGTACCTTGAAATTCTTTCTGTGTTTAATCCCTTTAAGTCAATGAAAAGGAATTTAAATTTCCTCTCCTAATGTTTTATCAAACATTCCTATGCTTTTGCCTTCCAATCAGGTATTTTTGGTCACTGTCTGGAATTTTGAGCTCTACATGGTGCCTCTGGCATTACTGTTGCTTTTTGTCTACAATTTCATCAGACCCATGAAAGGCAAAATCAGCAATATCCAGGACAGTCAGGTAAGCAAAATTTACAGACTTCTGGCTTCCGACTAATGAAAAATACATTAGCAGTAATGATGAGGCACCACCACCAAATAATGCTCCAAATCCATTTTGTTGGAGCCATGATAAGCACATACCCTGATACCTGTTAGTAAATATCAGAGACTTGGATTGCTTCCTTCTCTGGCCTTCCCAACACTGGAGTTGAAAGAAAACAATAATACCACATAGAAACCTTATTACAAAGATTGACTGTATTCACACTAGTGCATATTCACCTGTCTAATGTTTCAGTAAGGGACCCAAATGGAAAGAAAAATCATTCCAACCACGAGCCTCACTATAACACAGTATAAGAGTGTCAGCCTTAACAGAATCATGAATATTTCATTTGTCAGAGTAAACAAAACTGTTTCTAGAAAGTATAAGTTGGTGATACATTTGTGAAGTTGAATGCCTTCAAAAGGCACTCACTTAATAGCTCTTTATTTAGAGATAACAGTTTTATGTAGATTATGCATCATGTTTGCAGTCTTGTCACAGTATCCCTGAATATTAGAAGTATTATTTCACAAGAACACTAAAAATACTAACGCTAAAGTTCCATACAAAAACTTTAAAATGTGAATGAGTTTCATTTGCATTGTGTAATTTCAGCTGATGGTCTATTAATAAATTGTGGGATCTCCTTTCAGGAGATCGCAGACATAGAAGAGGAGGAGGACGAGGATGACAAGGTGAGTGTGCTCATCAAAGAGCCTGAAAAGGACAAAAATGTTGGCAATAGAAGTTCTCCTCCAGGCTGTGTGTATGTGTGTGTGCTGTTTTTCTCAGTAGTAGAGAGTGAATAGTGTAATGAGATTGGAATATCTTTTGGGATGTTTAAAATGCAATAGCTGTCATATCTATTTGCCTGCTTATCCAAATATGATAGCAGTAGCATTTGCCTTATTCATCTTACAAGTCTTTTTTCATTGGCAGATGCTAATTATATATTTTTCTGGCAGACACTGTGATGTTTGGGACCTTAATAAGATTTTTAAAAATGAGACTGAGAGGGGGTAAAAGAAGGAGTAACTGAAGTGCTCTAAAAAAGCACAGTGATAGGTCGTTGCCTGGATGCAAGCCAAGAACAGTCTTCCCCTTTGTAGATAAAAGATAGCATGGGGAGTCAAGAGAAAATCAAGGGAAATTGTTGCTCCTTTAGGTTCCTGTCTGCACTCTGTGGTGTGGTCACCCACTTCCGAGCCTGTCACTTCCCCAGCTGTTGCTGGCAGTGATTTCAGCTACATGTCTGTGTACATCTGTCCTTTCTCTTCTCCTGGGAGAATCTCTCAAATCTGCTGCTTTTGTTGTCATTACACTTTCAGACAAACCTTCTGGAACAAAATGAAAAAAGCAAAGTGCCAAATGAAATGCTTCTAGCTTAATGGACTTACAGTTTCCTGAAACCTATGGGTATATGGAGCTTATGATGGTGGCATGGAGGAAGCTTGGGGGAGAGGAAAGGGTACAAGGGAGAACCATAAGAGCAAGTATGCTGTATAAATCCCTATACAATAAAAGTTAATTCAAAGACACTGAGTCCATGACAAAGAGAGTCTTAAAATTAATTGAGTAGTCCAGATGGTTTTGCCTATTTGAAGCAAATGGGTAGATTACCACAACCTTATTTGTTGTTCTAAGGTGCTCATTAGTAGCAAAGCAATAAAATAAAGTAAAATATATATTTTTTAAAAATCCACCTTTTTTTCTGGATAGACAACTCACCACTTCAATTTGTCCATTAATTCAGAAGCATCCTGACACTGTTTGTGCATTTGCTTTGTTTTTATGGAGCCCTCATTATGTAGATCTGGTTGATTAAACCACTGGCTATTGGTAACTGTCAATCTCCAGTCTGTATCCTCTTTCTGGGGTGGGAGGGAGGTGCCTGAAAATTCCAAACCTGTAATCACACGATTGTTTCCCCTGTCAACCAGCTCCCCATCCTTAGTGACTTTCCAAAAGTCACCTCAAAGAATCTAATTCCTAATATATTCTGATAGGCTGTGAGGAAGAAGAGAAGGAAAATGTCTTGCATTTTATGTACATGTCACTGGACCAAATATGAGGCAAGTGCACCCTCAGAAGACAGGCTGGTGTTTTAGCTATAATGGCCGAGATGGGTTGTTATGTACCTGCTGAAATGTGTAGGCTTACACCAGTTAATGAAGTATTTACTAGACTTAGTGCCTCAGCTAGAATAATATGAAGCAAAATTATGTTTTTTGTTGAATTGAGTGAAACTGCCAGCATAGTTATATATGCAACAGTACATTTTCTGATACTTGTGGATAAATTAGGAAGAGGTATTATAGGATTTGATGGGCCAGAAATGGTAAATGCAGTTGCTAAAGAACTTTCTGAGACCATAAACTGTCTTACATTGTTTTCTATCCATTACCATTCATTAGTAGAAAATAATTCTGAAAATGTTTCTGTGTTCCTAGACATATAATGTGCATGGTAGAAAATAAATGAGAAGACTCCTGCCAGGAGGTTATTACTTTTCTGTATGAATTAATTAAGGGTGCTTGTCCTCAGAGCTATGGCTTTAATGTAGCAAGCCTTGCTAATCTTCCAGAGGAAGTGACTCAAGAGGTACATAGACAAGCAAGGGAATTTGAGAAGATGGCTCAGTCACTATGGGTATTTCAGGAAGTGTCCTTGCTAGGGAAGAAAACTATAGTTGTTGAAACTGTCTATAAGTTGCTGAGTTTGATTAAGGAATTATAGACTACTTTGGAATCATAAAGTTGACTTTGAACAATGGTGGTAAATTCTCATGATATTATGACCTAAAAAACTTTATTTTTAAAAATAAAAACTGTCATCTTTTTAACTTAAACTCAGGTGTGGCTGAAAGAGGTTTCTTGTGAATAGCAAAAGATTCTCTTTCCCTTCTTTCTAGATCTGGAGTGATTTCAGGCACTGGGGACGTAAGCAACTATAACAAAACATATTTCTACCATCCTTTTCACTTAGCCAATTCCAAGAATTGGCTAGGAACCAGGAACAAAAGCCAAATATATATATTTCTTATTATATCACAATATCACACTAGGCAAAATTCTAAGTTTTTATAACAAAAACTCAGAAGAGAGGAACATGTCTTTTTGTTTGGTCAAGTCTGTTTAAATAAGCTGCTCATTGGAAGAGGACCCTGTCTACCTTTTGGGATAATTATGTCCATATGCCTTTGACCTGCCTGATAAAGGAAAGCTTCTGACATGAAGGCAATGGAAAAGTGGTGTTCTGCAACTGGCAGTCAACAAAATCAGGCCATAAATCTCGACCAGTGAGTGTCAGTGTCCAGTCTTCAACTGAGGTGTTTCAAGGGCTGCCTGGAAGTATAGGTACAGAGCCATCTTGGCTGTCTCTCTAGGCAAGGATGAGCGAAGAGAGTCTAGCAGTCAGCAATAGGGATGAGCCTTGGATCCATTGATTTCATCTTCACATGCATTACACATATTAGTTATGTCAGCCTGCTCCATGGCTGAGAGTATTGACGGTATGTCTCTTCTCCCTCCCCAGAGCAAGTTCATTTGTGAGATATTTTTATTGAAGTATTTCAATATGACCTTTCGATAGCCAAAGCATAGCCATAGTTGTTTTCCTTCCTTGATTTTATAGCTCCATGAAATGTTCTAAAGGAAAGAATCTAAAACCAAAATTGGACTTCTATGGATGCCTATCCTGATGAATACACCCTTCTATTGTAGGGGAGACTGGCAAACATTTTAGTCTTTGCCCGTGTTTTTTTTTTTTTTTTCCACTCTTCCTTCTGTTGGAGATTTGTTAAAATAGATTAAACTTGAAGTTTAAAGGCAAGATTTCTTAAAGGCACATCCCATATGCATGACAATATATCATTTCCTCTCCATTTGTAGCAACCTCCACTGATAGGATGTGCTCATCTTGGATCTGGACAGAGTGACTCCCCACCCCAGTGGACTGTCTGAATGGTGTTTCCCACTGAGCCCCACTGGCTTCTGCTGCATGTTTGCCATGACAGACTGTGCTTCTGGGATATGTAACATGCCCGAGTCAAAAGGAACTGTTTACAAATTATAAACACATAGCCATTCTGTACAAAACCAGAAAAGGAGAGAAAATCCTTTCTACCCAAACTATCCATCTTGATAATGACACTCCTTAATTGCCAGCACCCCTTCCCACCAAATAACTTCAGGGATGGCTGTGGAAGATGAAAGCCTGCCTGGCCCCTTTGGCCCTGCTTCCTTGGGAGATGAGTGCAATCCCATTTGCTGCTTGCCTCCAGTGCACAGAGCAGGACACAGTCTGGGGTCTGTCATACTTTTATTGTCTGGAAAAAAAGTGTTTGTGAAATGAAATCACTGCAGACTATTGCTTCTTCTCATTGTTAAAAGTACATGGTGATAATCTGTATTAGAAACCAGACTGGACTCTATAATTTTGCCTTCTTTTCTTTTGTGGACTTTCAGTGATGGCACAGAAGTTTCAGGTAACTAGTTTTTGGTTTTTAGGAGACAAAACATTCAGACTAAACTTTGAAGAGAGGAATCCTTTTTTCTTACACTTGATGGCCCGTGTAAGAAATTGCTTGTTATAAGTATAGTTTGCTAGAGACCCCAGAACAAACAGATAATGGCTAAGTTCAGCCAACAGCAATCAGTTGACATTTCCTATTTGTATTAGATTCCATATGTGGAATCCTTCCGTGTGGACTTTATTTGTACGGATGGATTACAATGAAAATTGCATTAATTTTCTACACAGTAAAGGTCAGTAATTGAAGCATGAACCAAGAAACTATTGTGTAAAATGCTGTATCCCATACTTAGGAAAGGTCATGCAAGACAATAATATCTTGTTTTCATTGCTGAAGGTATAAATACTTGCATTAGAGTTTCTTTCTTTTTCCAGCCCAACAATCACTTACACAGAATATTTCAGCATTTACTATTAAGATCAGCAAGAAGAAATCATAAGGGCATGTAATAAAAGGGAAAAAAACCCACTGCTTTTGGCTCTCAGAAGAAACTACTTCGAGACCTACATTGTGGGTTGGTTTGTTTATAACTAGGCTGTCATAGGACTTGAATGATTTCTTCTTTTAGGATCATCAGTGAGGTCACAATTGCCTGACAGTGTTTATGAAGAAAGAAAATCCTCCCTTAATATCAGTTCTTGCTAAAAAACAGGCATGCATTTTTTTCCTTTAAGAAAACAAGATACACTGAATACATTTTTGTTGGTTGAGGGACATTTTCTAATGAAAGAATATTAGATATTAGATCTGTGTCCTGTTTACACAAATTAGAATGCTATCATTAAAATTTAAGCACATCCTAAACCATCAATTTCAGCATTCAAAGTGATTTTCCTCCTCCAAACCAATTAGTGTCCTCATCACTGCCCAGGCAGAACCTCTGTAGTGGGAGAAGCACGTGGAATATGTGTTTGCAGTTCTCTCTGTGAATTAGCCTTCAGCATGAGTTCTTTAGGTCCACCATTGCTCATTCCTTCTGTTTCTTTGTTCCAGAGAGGGAGAGTATCTTCTGTATGTTGTGTTGACCAAAGAATACTGTTGTGCACAGAGGAAGTCTTACAACCTACTAGCAAGAGTAGTGTTCTTATTTTTCCTTTGTGCTTTCTTAAGGATGTCCAAAAGATAATAAACTAATCAGGGAATCTTTAAAAATGATAGTAT